ATCTCTTCCTGCATACACTCCCCACTCATGGCCTCACTAAGGGCATGTCTGTCTACACTGCAACTGAGAAGTGTGATTGCAACATGTGTAGACATACCCAAGCTAGTTTTGACTAGCTAGTGCACTAAAAACAGAAGTGTAGCACTGGCGGCACAAGCATGAACTATCTGCCCAAGTATGAGCCATCTGCCCAAGTATGAGCCATCTGAAAGCCTACATACATACTTGGGTGCTAGCCCATCCCACCACTCGTGTCGCTGCAGCGACACCTCTATTTTTAGTGCACTAACTTGATCAGAGCTAGCGAGGGTATGTGTACCCAAGATGGAAATTACACCTCCAGCTGCAGTGTAGATATACCCGTTGTTTCCCCAAGGAGCAGTGTGGCTCTACACTGCTCCCTCTGTCTGCCTGTGGACAAATCACAATCTTTAGCACCAAAATGTGCATGCATGTCAGAAACAGTCATTTTCCAGATCGCGCTGAATGACTGAGGGCAATATGGGTATTCCAGTTAGGCCTAGGTCTTTTTATTTCTACATTATTAATCTAATTGTACAAGCACTTTATGGGTATTCTTTCAGGGAGGATTATTCAGGAATCATTAGTTCATTTTAAGTTACTGCAAGTCAATTTTTTTCAATTCACCAACCTTTTGAATTTTTGATTTCCTGAAAAAATTCAGAATTATTTTGCAAAAAGCTTTCCATCATTTTTCAACCAGCTCTAATCTTACAGTGCTCAGTTACGGAGTACAGCACAATTCCTTATTCTGTAATAATAATACAATAATACTAACAGTTTGTCTTTTTATGGCACTGTTCACCTGAGGGTCTCAAAGCACCTCACAAATATTACTGAAACCTCACAACCCCCCAAAAAGATAAGTAAAAGATATGTTCAGGAGCGATCACACCACCTATCAATTAGAGGCTGTATGTAGATTAGAGTCCTGATCCAGCAATGCATTAAATAAGCATCTGCTTAACTTTAAGCACAAGTAGTGTCATTTATGCCACTGTTTAAACCCAAGTTTTGCTGAAGGCCACTTAGGTTAGGAAATGAAAGTAGGGAGGGATAGCTCAGTGGTTTGAGCATTGGCCTGCTAAATTCAGGGTTGTAAATTCAATCCTTAAGGGGGCCATTTAGGGAACTGGGATAAAAATCTGTCTGGGGATTGGCCCTGCTTTGAGCAGGGGGTTTGGACTAGCTGACCTCCTGAGGTCCCTTTCAACCCTGATATTCTATGGAGAACATTACTAAACCACCTCACAGTTTGGCAGAAATCAGCACTACTGGCAATCTCTGCTCAAGATTAGATTAGCTGAAAGTTTTGTAGCTCTGAAGCAGGGCCGGCTCCAGGCACCAGCCCAGCAAGCAGCTGCTTGGGGCGGCCAAGGGGAAGAGGCGGCACGTCGGGCTGTTCGGCGGCGGGTCCCTCTCAGAGGGAAGCACCTGCTGCCGAGTTCCCGCCGAAGAAGAAAGCGGCGTGGTGGAGCTGCCGCCGATTGCAATTGCGATCGAGGTTGGTTTTTTTTGTTTGTTTGTTTTTCTCGCCGCTTGGGGCGGCAAAACCACTGGAGCCGGTCCTGCTCTGAAGGGTAGGGAAACTTGCAGAGTATTGGCTCAGATTCTAAGCCTGGCTCATACTAGTTCTAAAGAACTTACATGAGCATTAAAGTTGATTCAAATGTAAATAAAATAAAATAAAAATAAAACATGTTCAAACTGAACATAATTGCAGGTGAAATCAGCTTGAACTTCCAGGCTGGGAGAGCCTTTCCTAATGCTGGTATGTTTTGCAACAGCTTCTTTCATCAGAAAATCTAACATCTGCATTCTCAAATGATATATAATGCTATAAAAATATGTTATCAAATTTAATACATCTATAAGATACAATAAATCCAATAGCCAAAACAATTACCCATCTTCATTTTTAATATATGCCTCTGGCCATATTTCTTAGAATGATTTAATACAATTCTAGCAGTACTAAAGGAGGGCAGGCATTCATTCTGTTATATGGGTTTTGTTTTTCTTTAGTATCTGATGCTTTTTTCTCATGAGAGACTTTGCTAATGCCATTATGAATTGGCTATCATAGGCTCTTAGAAACTACAGATGGAAGAGTCTCAATTAGGTCACTTTTTCCATCCCATGGCTGCCAGTGCAAGACTGTTCTCTACAATGTATTCTCAAGTGCTTTGTCCAGTCTAGTTTTAAATGACTCAAGCAATGGGGCTCCCGCTATTTTCCAGGCAAGACTATTTAATCACAGTAGTGCTAGTTGCATCCCCCTTGGGACCACCCTAACCAATTTCCTCTCCTTTCCTGGCTTAAAATATTTATAGATAATTCTCCTATTCCTTCCCACCACACACTTTCATTGTCAAGTAAATTTCTCATTGAGTCAACTGATGGAAAAAAATGAACTGAAATGTTATTGCTAGATAATAAATATAATATAATGGTACTACCTCCAGTGTGAGATCGTGAATAAATCCTGTAACTTTTTGGTACCTCAGTTTCCTTTTCTGCAAATAATGCTTACCTTGCAAGCACATTGGGAGGATTGTTTGTCAAATGCATTGAGATCCTTAGATAAAAATGTTATATGCATCAAATGTATCATGTATGTTACTCATGACACGTTGGGTAATTAGTTCATCTCAGTATATTTACAGTGATATATGAAATGTCTGAAATCATATCCTTTGTAGGGTAAGTGCAATACCATCTCTATCCACAATATATTGTTCAAAGTGCTCTTTTTCAAATAGGAGGGTTTCCATTTTTTTATGTTGGTCCTACTCAGGTCTGGCTCTAGGTGTTTTTCCATGGTGGAAAATATTTTTGGTACCCTTCATCCCCCATAGCCAAGTGGGTGGGGGAAACACACACACACACACACACACACACACACACACTAGTTGAGCGAGATGTGGCACCCTTCTTTCTCCCTCCTCCCAGAACACTGATTTGGCAACCTTGGAAGTTGGCACCCCGGGCAATTGCTCTGATTGACCATGCCTAAGGCTGGCCCTGGCCTTATTCTAATGTCCTCAGAATATTGGAAAAGGGCACTTTTATAAAATGAAATAAATAACATAAAAATTAATTAATTAAATGATACAAGTGTGCTTTATAGGTTATGGAATGTAGATGACTATAAATGTACACAGGGAGCTTTGAGGCTTTTCCCCATGTCATTAAACTATATTAATCTCAAAGCAGTTCTATTATTACCAAATAATTAATCTGGTACAAGCCATATTGGCCCCCAAGTACCAAGAATGTGCTTAAATCTCTCCCTAATTCAGGAGAAAACCTAAGCAACTGCTTTCCTGAACAGGGAATCTTTGCCTGAACTGGGCCAATTAGAAGTTTGAAGGAACCCATCTATAGCGTAATTTAGTTTGAAAAAGCAGGGTATGTACATAATGCTCCAATATTCTGAATCTATTCAATAGGGAATAGATAAGGATCTTGATTATCAGAGTAATTTGAGTGTCTACATTAATGCTTACAATTAAACACATGTTCTGCATTTGGTAAATTAAAGAGTGGACCAAATCCTTCAATTTTTAGCCAGTTCTTACTCAAGAAAAAAATTCCCATTCAATTCAATGGGAAGTACCAAGTGTGGGCTGCAAGATTTGGTCCATTATTTGGTACCATATGAATTAAGTATTAATAGTATTATAATTGTTCCTTAGAACTATTTGAGAAGAAATGCTGGTGTTAATAGCACATAATAGTGCTATTAAACTACTGTTTGATTTGATAGGAAAGAAAATATATTCAAAGTTTGCCTGCAGTGATTTGCTACTGCTGTGCAATACGATCTAATCCCTACCAGATAATTTACTGTAAAAAGATAATTTATTCATTTCACTACAAAATTAAAATTGTGTTTTGACTAATAAGCCTAAATTTAATTCATTAATATATTTTTGTAGTCATTTTTCTTAATCAGAGTGTTTTCCAGATGTTGCTTAAGTCTAGCCATCTGGAACCTTTTCCAAATAATGTGGAAACTTTGCTGTCATAGGTTGTCACTGTTGGTTTTGTCTAACACGTTGGGTAATTAGTTCATCCCAGTATATTTACAGCAATATATAAGATGTCTAAAATATCCCTGAAAGCAGACATATCCTTTATAAGGTAAGTGCAATACCTATCTCTATTCACAATATTTTGTTCAAAGTACTCTTTTTCAAAAAGATGATATTCTTTCCTGAAGGACCTAGAATAGAGATAACCATTTGTATTTTCCTTTTGCAAAAAGAACCACTTTTAACCAGCATTCTCACTGAACATCTTTATATTTCTAAACCAGTGGTTTTCAACCTGGGGTCTCCAGACTATGTCTAAGATTTCCAAAGGGGTCCACACCTTCATTTGCATATTTTAAAGGGTGCGCAAATGAAAAAAAGTTTAAAACCACTGTTCTAAAAAATAATGAGATATCTGGGTAACAGTTTGTTGGATTACATTTTTACCTACTCTATTGATTAATTTGTCTGACAACCTTTGTTTTGACAGCAATTTTTAAATATATAAGTGTTTTTTTACCAGTAAATATATAATTAGAAATTGTTATCTTGAAATCATTGTAAAGAAAAGCAGCTTAAATAAATGTATCTAATTTACTGTGTTCCTCACATTTAGGGACTCCTAGAAAAATATTAACTCCATTAATTGCTATAATTTACAGAAACAGACTTTAAGTAATGATGTTATTTACATCTATTTTTTCTGCAAAGTTTAATGCATAATCAACTTATTATTAGGGGATACATGGCATAATTCTGTGTTATCAAGTTCTCTATATTTTCAAACTGATGTTTAAGTTGTTACGTGACTTTTATTAGGTACTAAAGCATTCATTTGCATTTTATTTTTTAGTATAAACTAAATAATGTTTCATATATTGATCTGAGAGTATTTTAAATACAGTGTTTCTTTTCAGGAAGGATTCAGTACCTAAGTTAACCATGGTGTGGAATATATATTACATATCCCTGGTGTTATTTTCAGCATCCTTGATTCAGCAAGCTTCTTCTCAAGGTATTGTAACATACAAAGCCGAAGAAGGCTGTTTGGAATATTTGGAAAAATAAATTAATACAGATAAATGATTCCTTCATTGCAAACATGTCTTAAGAAACTACAACATTTTATAACTAATTTACCAACATGGCTATCATGATTCAGTTTGCCAAAATCTGAGAATCCTTTAAAACATATGTCAATATAAATTGATCTTTTAAGTGGAATAATTTGTAAATCTCAATGTCATAAAATGTATATGTACATGCTTTGTGTGTATCTATAACTCTCTTTCTGTAGATATAAGCTGCATATCCTATTGCCCTCTAAATGATATAGTTAGTCAAATCCATTGCTGATATCATCCAGTGAAGTACTTGCAATTATATCACTGATTAATTTGGCCAGGAGTGGTTAGATACTGATCAGAATCATAACAAGGCATGTACATAACATGCTAACTAAACACTTTCCTTGTCAGTAACGTATTATCTGAACACACTTTTGATACTACCATGCAATCTTCTAGTGGCATTAATTTCTCTAATATTATAGATTCTTTTAATTTCTCTCTTAAAACTTGGCATCTACTAACCAAGATAGCGTCTTTTTTTGAAAAATGGAAGGAACTACAGCATAGCAAATATTAAGCTTGCTGCTATAATTCTTAAGCAATTTAAATACTTAAGTTTCGGCTACTGTACTTAAATACTTAAGTACAGTAGCCGATATTACATAGTTGTATAGCAGTAACACAAAAAAGTTCTCAACAGCTCTCACTCTTTACAAGGCAGGAATCAAATTTTATCGACTCAGGGCCCGATGGAACTCCCTTTCAAGCGAGTGGGAATTTTTGCATTGACTTCAACAGGGATCAGACACTCACTGCCAGGAAAGAATGCACGAAAACCAATTGTGGTTTTGTTGGGTTTCTTTTAAGAAATAACTTCTCATCCTACAGTTCATAAAATTGTCTTTTAATCTTGAATCCAGATTTCACCTGTGTTCTCTCCTCACCCATCTCTCTTACATGGAGGGGCAACTGTGGTGTAACAAGCTATGCATAAGGCTGGTAGTGAGGAGACATGGGTTCTAACTCCTGACTCTTTCACCTACTCATAGTGTTCCCTTTGACAAATTACTTCACCTTAGAACCGCAGCTACTCTTTGGAATACTGCAAGTGAAAATAGTTAAGTATCAGGGGGTAGCCGTGTTAGTCTGTATCTACAAAAACAACAAGGAGTCTGGTGGCACCTTAAAGACTAACGGATTTATTTGGGCATAAGCTTCGGATGCATCCGAAGAAGTGAGGTTTTTACCCACGAAAGCTTATGCCCAAATAAATCTGTTAGTCTTTAAGGTGCCACCAGACTCCTTGTTGTTTTTGAAAATAGTTACTTGCCTTTGTAATAAAAAGTGCTATGTAAATGCAGAGTTTAATTATTATTTTTATCCCAACTCCTCCCCTCCTTTTGATACACACACATATGTACAGTGTTTGTTGTTGAAAATGTTTCTTGTCTCCAGTGCTGTGTTATGTGTTATTTCTTGTTGCTTCTCAAGATTTCAATTCACTGTCTTGAGTCTTTTTTTCAGCTTGTTTACTAAATGTACAGTCTCCTGGTTCAGATTTAAGGATGCTTCCCTTGCATTTTTCAATTCCAGAAGGGGAGGCTATTAGTACGCTAGTGTGTTTTCATTTACTGGGGGTATTGTTCCAAGATGATTGTATGATATAGAAGAACAAGATAATGGACTACAATTAGAAGTTGTGGTGATTTCATTGTGAAAACAGTCGTATCTGTCACTTAGGTTTTCATCTCTAAATGCACAGCTAGGGAGTTCCCCCACTATCTTTGATTATCCGTGATCTCCCAGCATTGAAGCCACTCTGTAAGATGAATGTTACTCCGCTGAAAATAAAGAATCCATATGAACAAAAAGAAAGAATATATTTTATCCTGTTGTGCCGGGCTGGGACCCAATGATTCCTAAATTCTAATCCTAGTTCTGAAACTGACTCCCTTTCTGACATCAGGCAGTCCCTTAAAGTGCAGTCTTGTTCTTACAGTCACTTGTCAGAACAACATCACAGGATTCCTTTGTATTGTGATCTTATTCACCCGTGTACAAGCAAAACAACTTTTTTAAATGAGCAGCCTTGCAAACTCAACCTGAGATCTGAAAGTCAACCAGGGTTGTCTCCTGCTCCTACGCATCATCACCAGTAATAAAGATTATACAGCCCTAATTATGCTGTCAGTGGCACCTGTGCATCTCCAGTGCCTTCTGATTCTGCATTTAAGGTATGTCTTCTGGACTACTGGAACAAAAGCAGTGAAGACAGTGCAGCATAGGTAGTAGGAGTCCAGCACACACATGGGTCCTTAGCCTGATCTGAAGCCCATGCTGAGCTATCTTCACTGTTGTTGCCTGTGCTAGCTTGATAGCTTTTTCTGTGTAGACAGACTCTTAGTTATACCTCTGTAACCACACAGAGCCTTCATTGAGATAGCACAGGTGTAATTGAAAGCAGAATATGGCCTTCAGAATTTCTGTTAACTGATGATAAGCATGCAAGAATTTAGCTTGCCTTTCAGATCCCAGGTTGAGCTTGCAGTTGGAAAAAATAATCTTTTATTTGTAATTGGAGCAAATTTGTTCTGGAAGTCACCAAACAAAATAAACATTGAAAGCCATATAGAGCCATTTTTACAGTTATTTTCATAGCAGAATTGCACTGTCTCAGTGTTCCATCTGGAATTTATTACCTAATTTTTTGCAAAATGTTTTGAAGAAGTAAAACTTTCTATTCAGATTAAACATTGTCATCATCAGTGGGATGCAAAATTAAAAGGTGAGATGGAAAACAAGTGTGGTCTTACCAGTCAGTTGCTTTTTCTAAGCTATGACCAGTAAAATACAAATGCTGATAGCTCACAATACAAGTGACTCATTCAGTATGACAGATGGCCACGCACCAATCCCCAATTCAACATACTCCCAAAACTAGGGCAATTGAAGTTAGCAAACACAGTACTGGATGCAGACCTGAACCACACAGTTGTCTAGGGTGACCAGCAAGTGTGAAAAATTGGGACAGGGGATGGGGGGTAATAGAAGCCTATATAAGAAAAAGACCCCAAAATCGGGACTGTCCCTATAAAATTGGGACATCTGGTCACTCTACAGTTGTCCCCTATCTATTTCCATAGTATACCAAACCAAAACTTGAAACCTCAAAACCCCTGAACTTTAGTATGTTTGAAATCTGTCTGCATTTGTAAGCTCAGGCTCATTTCTAATTTTAAAGTAGAATATGAATTTATGCATTGTGATAATATGACCATAGCTAGGGTGACCAGATGTCCCGTTTTTAAAGGGACAGTCCCTTTTTTGGGACTTTTTCTTATATAGGAGCCTATTACCCCCTACCCCCGTCCTGTTTTTTCCACAGTTGCTATCTGGTTACCCTAACCATAGCTCAGCATTCTAGATCTTAGTATTCAATATAGCTCAAAGAATACACACAAATTAACATGTTTTGGGCCCACTCCAACTCCCAGTTAATGAGAGTTTTGCCACTGATTTCAGTGGGAGCAAAACAACTCATATTTTTTTCATATGCAGTCGATATATTTTGGTTTAACTGGAAAGAAGAAACCTGCCTCCTACAAGCCACATCAGGGTTTGACTTAAATTAGTGCATCCAAACTTTGAAAATATCCCATAGCAGAAACCTTTTCTTTTGCAACTATTATACCCCCTAATATAGGGCCCAATCCTAGGCCTACTGTAGACAATGGAAAGACTCCTATAAATATCAGTGGGAGATGGATTGGGCCCATTGTTTTTTTTCCCCCCTTAAGGATTTCATTTGCTTAGTCATTATAAGCAAAATCATTTTACTACTTTGCCATTCGCTGTTTCCTTACAAACCATTCTAGTTTGGCAATGTTTAAAACTAGTATTGTATGATTTTAGATTTATCAAGCTGTGCAGGGAGATGTGGGGAAGGGTATTCTAGAGATGCTCCCTGCCATTGTGATTATAGCTGTCTACACTACATGGAGTGCTGCCACGATTACAAGAGATTCTGCACAGAGGGTAAGTTGTTAAACCCAGTCAGTTTCTACAATGATGAGCTCTGCTCTTATTTCCTTTTGCACCTGTACCTTGTGCTCTTCTCAATGTTTATACGTCTCTTTCGCTTTACTGTGTCTCTCGTTTCCTTCTCATAAATGTTGTATCATGTCTGAATACAAGTTTTTCATGGATAATCACCACTTCAAAAAGTCCAGTATTCACATTTACAATAATTAGGCTGTCACTAAGAAAAGTGCCCTGCTTTAAAGACTGGCAGAGCAGCACAGAAGGGGTTAATATTTTACCTGCAATTTGGGGCCAATCCTGTTCAGTGCTTTTTTAAAAAACTTTTTAAAGCAACATTTTAAAAACCGTGGGGGCCAAAGGCCATGATTCAAAGCCCAGTGAAGTCAATAGAAGTCTTTCAATGGACTTTGCATCAGATTGTGCTATCAATTTTTAAGCCAAAAATCACTACTGAATAAGGTATTCCTGTTTAAAAAACTGATGGCTCAATATGGACCTATACATTCTAAAGAAAAAGTACCGTATATACTCGATCATAAGCCGGTTCGTTTATAAGCCGACCCTCCCAAGATGGATAAGTAAAAATGGAAAATTTTTATAACCCATTCATAAGCTGACCCTATAATTCAGTGGTCAGCAAACTTTGGCTCCCGGGCCATTAGAATAAGCCGCTGGTGGGCCGAGATGGTTTGTTTACCTCGAGTGTCCGCAGGCACGGAGGTAAACCTAAGTAAACAAAGTGTCCCAGCGCGCCAACTGCTTATCCTGACGGGCCGGTACAGCAACTGGTGGGGAAATTTTGGGGGGTAAGAAGCTGGGAGTCAGGGGAGTAACCCCTGTGACCACCCCCCACATGACCCCACCCCTACCCCAGGACCCCTACACTCTTCCCATCCCATCCCACCCCACCTTATCTGGGGAGGGCCAGGGGGAGGATGTCTCTTACCTGGCTGGAGCTGCTCCGGCAGGCTAGGCAGCGTGGCCACAGCCTGCTCCGGTGGGCCAGACCGGGTGGCGCGGTCGCAGCGTGTTCCAGTGGGCTGAGCCGGGCAGCACGGCCACAGCGTGCTCCAGCGCCCAGGCGGCGCGGCCACAGCCTGCTCTGGGGGGCGGAGCCAAGCGGCATGGCTGCAGCCTGCCAGCCAGAGCTGCTGCTGCTTCAGAGGCTGGGGGGAGAGCAGCGTGGCCAGAAGAGGAGAGACTCTGGCCCCGCCTCTTCCCTTCTGGCTGTACTGCCTCTCCTTGCTCCCTCTGTTGGGGGGAGGGGCTGCGTCCCACCTCTCCCTCCCTATACCCGTTCATAAGCTGACCCCCTTCTCTGGTGCTTCCCTTTTTTACTAAAAAAATTCAGCTTATGAACGAGTATATATGGTAGTTGAAATTTGCCATCTTAAAAACTCACTTCTGTTTCTATTTGCTGAGTCCATGTAGTTGAAAATGTTGTGTGGGAGACTGATGGGGAAGAAGATAGAATGAATACTGGACTTAGATATATTTTTCCTATAATTGACATGCCCCTGAACAGTGCAAATATGCGTGTTTCGATCTGTTTTTACAAGGATTTTGGCAAATTAGGTTAATTGTGAGGCAGCAATGCATTAAATTCATGTTTATGACTAAGCGTTTGTTCACAGAGTGCATTAATCTGCACCAGAGGGATGTGAATTCTAGGGTGCACAAGTGTGTCACACTAACTAGCCTGTGTGGACTCTGCTGGTGTGCATTAAAAGTTCGCTAGTGTACGTTAATATAGTCCTGTTTAAAACAATACTATGTTATCGTGCACTGGGGAACTTTGTGTGTGTGTGTGCCAGCGGGGTCCACATGGGCCAGTTAGTGTGCAACATGCTAGTGTGCACTATAATTTATACTTTCTGGTGAGGACTAATTGCTCAATGCAGACAAGCCCTTAAGATAACCATGGTGTACTATTCACTGCAGTTCTAACAATGCTGAAACATTCTAGGGTAGGATTTTTTAGTTCTATCATTACAGAATCATAAGTCGCAACTCTGTTACCCTTACTCATACTAAGTGGTACATTACTGCACAAATAGCCCTATGGAAGGGACCTGCATTGTGATTAACCCAGTCTAGGGTGACCAGACGTCCCGATAAAATCAGGACCGTCCTGATATCCGCCGGCAGCGCTGGTTGTTTTTTTTTTGCTCCGCCGGCGGGACTGACTCCGCTTTTTTTTTTTTTTTTTTTTTTTTTTTTGCACACTCCCCCCCCGCCCCCCCCATGTGTCCCGATATTTTCTTTCCCTCATCTGGTCACCCTAATCCAGTCATAAATATTAAACTGAGTGTATTGATGGCTCACATAAACCTGATTTGAATAAGACAAAAACGTTAACCTGCTGAGCAATTTCAATATTCCTTCGATTCTCTTGAATGATATGTTTGTCTGAAATTAAATGTTGCAGATTTTCTTTATTATACAATAGCCTGTTTAGTTACTACAGGCTAGATTTTTAAAGGTCCAGAGGTAGACAGGCAGTGTACCTAAAAACCTTTAAAAATCATGCTCTTTGTGATTTAAAAAATGTTGCTATATGTTCTGTTTGCTGAGCACACTGGCCCTGATCAAGCAAAGCATTTAAACATGTGCTTAACTTTAAATATGTGAGTAATCCCATGGAGCATAATGACTGACTAATTGATTTTGGCGTTAGCAGGATGTCAGAGATGTTTATGAACGCAACTTTTCTTATCACTGTAATTTAAGAGCCAACTCCAGATCTCATTTACAGTGGTACATATCGGGAGATAAACCACTGACATCAGTGGAACTACTCTGGATTTCTATTGGTGTAAGTGAGGTCAGAATCTGGCTGTAAATTATCCTACCAGCACTTAATTAATATTTAACCTAAAATAGGATTTTGAGCCCTGCACATAATCAGAGCTGAACTTCAATAGGAAGTTCAGGCAGAGAGAGGCTACAGGATTGGGTTCATTGCCTGTATGCTAAATAGTGTAACTACCAACTGATTGCTTATTTTGATCCCGGTTCTGGGAGGTACTGAGTATCCTCAACTCCCAGTGACTTCAGGTCCAATATGACCATTGAAATAGTAAAATTTGTATCTGTAATACACATCCTATACAACGTCAACAAATATGTTAAGATACTGTAAACATTTAAGGCCAAATGTTGTCCTTAAATGTGTAATTTATATAAAATTCTGATGTTAATGGGAGCTGCACACACTCTTGCAAGCAGATAAATTGACCATTACTATTTATTATGCAGTGCAAGAAACGTAGTGGTTATTAAAAGTTAAGCCCCAATGGATTATTAAGAATAGATAACAATTCAAAATGAATTAATACTATATAATTATACATCTAAATATTAGTACTGATATTACATTATGAAAAGGTACAAAAATAATTTTGTACTTAATTAACATTGGGGACAAATTTGCAGAAAAGGACTGTGTAATTTTCTATGCATAGCCATTTGCACGTTCCAAAAATAGCATGTGTATATCAGATAGTCTAACCCATGACATGTTCAAGCAAATCCTTTTTTTCATGTGCACTATTTTTAATGTTGGCGACACAAATAATTGCTCATGCAAAATGGTGTAGAGATTGAGGGGCCCATTTGAAAATCTGGCCCAGTATAACTTTTTTGTTAAATCTAAATTCAGTCCCTATTTGAAACATTTTACATCTGGCCCAATATTTCACAGACATCACCTCTGACTAGGGGGAAGGAAATCCTGTTCAAAGGAACCTTCTTATAGTGAACTCTGAGATAATGAAACAGCTTCTAGTGAAGCAGAATGTAAATTCTAAATTGTTTCAGTACACCACAATGTGCAAACTGCAGTTCCAGTTACAGCGCATGATTCCCAACCCACTGAAAGCAATTGGAGTCTTTACATTGATTTAAATGGGCTTTAGATCAAACTCAGAGTGACTACGTGCTTATATGAAGTTGTTCTTTATAGCAACAAAAATTAATGACTTCACTATAAAAGGGTTCCACTGTAGGACAACAACAACAACAAAAGCGGGCAATAATGCTGAACCTCTTGCTTTGCCTTGTGTAGAACTCTCCTGTAAAGGACGCTGCTTTGAAACTTTTGTAAGAGGGAGAGAATGTGACTGTGACGCAGACTGCGAAAAATTTGGGAAATGCTGTCCAGACTATCAGAAACATTGTGAAGAAGGTGAGTGTACTTTCCTTATAAATGGCTTTCTGTATTTTATGTATTTAATATAGCTGCCTAAGTGTTGTAGCAGATTAAGAGCCCCACATATGTTGTACTTAATAATGCTCACATTAAAGGAATTTTGCCATTAACTTCAATGGAAATAGCATCAATCATTCCCTTTCATTAACAGAACCCTCGCATATGGAAAACAGGAACTATGAGGAGGTGATTAAATGAATGGTCTGGTTACATTCCTTTATTTGAACATAGATGCTCTGAAATACCTACTGGCATTCTTCTCTGAATTAACTGCTCTGAGCTACCTTCTGAGTCTTCTAACTGCTAATGCTTTCATACAGTCCTTAACTAGTGATAAAAAAAATTCTTTAACAAAACAGACTCTCAAGAGTAGGAGCTTTATTATGAACAGGAACTGCTGAAATCACCAGAAAGAAAAGAATTTGTAGGGAATGATTTTTTAAATTTGTTTTTTTTTTTTAGTCTTTATATGGAACATCCACACCCCCACAATTCTAGGTCCATGATTTATAATAATATTTTCAAGCCTAGATTCTTTGCAGGTATAACTCCACTGACTTCAATGTCATTACATGCAAACGTAGAATTTGAAGGTTTAAGTGTGGGGAACTGGATAGCTCAGAGTACTGGTAATGGGATATAGTCTGAAATTTACTCTACCTGCAGAGAATCTGACTCTATGCACGTAGGGTACAGAGAGGTTAGACAAGAAAATTCACACCCCCACTCCCCATGCAGGTGTTCCCTGTAGGTTAGGGTTGATATGTATATGGCAGGGTAGTGTGAGAAACCATGTCTTGCTGCTTTCCAAGCTGCACCTGTTCTATGGATAAAGGCAGAACTTCATTCTCCAGGGAGATCTATTCTAAAGCTTTCAGTAGCACTAAGACATGGATTCAAAGCATGGAAGCACATTCTTAACTTTACTCATGTAAGCAATCCCATCCTATTCTGCAAAGCACTTAAGCATATACTTTAAGCATCTGCTTAAGTGCTTTGCTGAATCTGTGCCTTAATACCCTTATCTGCATGAAACTGATATATGCAGCTGGCACTGAGATACTGCCTTCTGAGATCACAGGATCTCCAGGACATTATTGTAGCCAATTTTAAAGTCAGCAGTTCAACAATCAACATGAACATTGTGAAAAAAAAAATTAATTACCATCCCAAATGTTATTCTGTTCACAGAACATTTTTAACCAACCACTACCAGGTTTTTTGTTTTACTTTGTGTGAAAAAGTGAAAACATCTAATTAAAGTCTTGGGAATATTGTACTAACTCATGAACATCACGTGAATTTAAGGTCTAAACTACCAGGCTGCTGCCTTTGAATGTTTCCCTCTGTCCATTTGAACTGCTAGGAAGATTCTGTGCACCAGGTGACACTGTCTGATTTTCATCACTGATTTGGGTTCCCTACCCTTTTTGCTTCCTGCTTTCTCAGACCTCTGCTTCAACACTGACTCTTTTCAGTTAGTGCTTAAAATAAGACCTTCTCTTACTAATGCAAGAGCAGAAAGAACTAGATTAAAAATACTATGTTCTTCTGCAGAATTATTGCCTACAAAAATATTTAAATTATTTGCTCATTTCTAAACTATCTAAGCAAAGTTTTGTTTATAGTGAATACTTTCACTCCACCTCCCCTAATTTCCCAGAGAAAGCAATTGCATCATAGATCTGCAAGTAACATTAGCATTGCATAGCAAAGGAGAAAAATAGGGAGGCGACCACATTTTGCTCCAAAGCTTAGGTGTGTATCTGCTATTCAATGTTTAAATTGGAGGAAATCCATACGAATGGTAGACACCTCTTTTGCTTTCACTGCTCAGTCTGTGGACACTCTTTAAATAGCAAGCAAGCAAGGTTACTTAAGAATAGTTGACCTAACAAAGGTGAATTTTTTTAATGTCTTACCAAAGTTTTTAATGAATATCACGTTGTACCATGTTAAAAATGTCATAACACACATTGCCAAGTCTCATTTTGTAGCAGCAATGGAAAGAGTGACAGAAAATGTACAGAATTGTCTAAAATGAAATTCAGTCAAATTGTTATCTTGGGCCGCAAGTCCCCTAAGAGTTTGACAAGTGGTCAGGGTTATTTGCAAAGGAGCAAAATCAATGACCAATTTAGAGCCACTTTAAGGCCCCTGTACTGTACACTTCCAGCATGATGGGTAAAAGGGTCTTAGTGTTAATAAAAATCAGACCTGACTTTTTTTTTTTTTTTTTTTTTTTTTAGAGCACAATCATCTTCATCTGTAGGAAGAAAAATGAAATTCACATTTTAATTTTATTGTATTTCATTGAATTCCCTAAAGCTGTAGCAATAAACCATTTTTGAATGGCTGAAGCTAACTGGCAGTTAGACCAGTTAACATTTATTTGTTTACTTTAAAAAAAAGATTTTAGGGGACACCTTGCAGAGTTGGCCTATATCCTGACCTTGTCGTGGCTGCTGAAATTCAAGCTGCCATGTTGATCCTATCTCCTCTCTGCAATGTTGATTCCAATCACTTCAATCTCTACTAGGCTAAGAACATAAGCACATAAGAAAGGCCGTACCGGGTCAGACCAAAGGTCCATCTAGCCCAGTATCCTGTCTACCGACAGTGGCCAATGCCAGGTGCCCCAGAGGGAGTGAACCTAACAGGCAATGATCAAGTGATCTCTCTCCTGCCATCCATCTCCACCCTCTGACAGACAGAGGCTAGGGACACCATTCCTTACCCATCCTGGCTAATAGCCATTAATGGACTTAACCACCATGAATTTATCCAGTTCTCTTTTAAACTCTGTTATAGTCCTAGCCTTCACAACCTCCTCAGGTAAGAGTTCCACAAGTTGACTGTGCGCTGCGTGAAGAACTTCCTTTTATTTGTTTTAAACCTGCTGCCTATTAATTTCATTTGATGACCCCTAGTTCTTGTATTATGGGAATAAGTAAATAACTTTTCCTTATCCACTTTCTCCACATCACTCATGATTTTATATACCTCTATCATATCCCCCCTTAGTCTCCTCTTTTCCAAGCAGAAAAGTCCTAGCCTCTTTAATCTCTCCTCATATGGGACCCGTTCCAAACCCTTAATCATTTTAGTTGCCCTTTTCTGAACCTTTTCTAGTGCCAGTATATCTTTTTTGAGATGAGGAGACCACATCTGTATGCAGTATTCAAGATGTGGGCATACCATCGATTTATATAAGGGCAATAATATATTCTCCTTCTTATTCTCTATCCCCTTTTTAAATGATTCCTAACATCCTTTTTGCTTTTTTGACTGCCTCTGCACACTGCGTGGACATCTTCAGAGAACTATCCACAATGACTCCAAGATCTTTTTCCTGACTTGTTGTAGCTAAATTAGCCCCCATCATATTGTATGTATAGTTGGGGTTATTTTTTCCAATGTGAATTACTTTACATTTATCCACATTAAATTTCATTTGCCATTTTGTTGCCCAATCGCTTAGTTTTGTGAGATCTTTTTGAAGTTCTTCACAGTCTGCTTTGGTCTTAACTATCTTTAGCAGTTTAGTATCATCTGCAAACTTTGCCACCTCACTGTTTGATGCATTGCCGGGGTGGAGCTCAATAAACAGTTCACACAAATCATTGTTAATATAGCACTCCCAAGTAAAAAAAGATTTAAAAAAATGTACAACTTCTAAAGGTAATTTTTTGTCCTACATCCTCCTCTATTTTTTTTTCATGAAAAGTCACCTGCCTGGACCTGATCCAACTCTTGCTGATTTCACTAGGAGTTGATCCAGGCCCCAAAGCATTTTCATTCAATAATTGCATACATTCCTCAATATAAATTATGGGCTCTATTCTGCCAGTCTTATTCACCTTGAATACTAGCTTAATGTGTCACTAGCCCCGTTGGTTTCCATGGGACTACTTGGGGAGAAAGGGACTACTCAATGAGTGTAAGGATGATCACATGAAAGTTCTAATAGTTAAAAATGCATAAGCTACATTTATTTCTCTTATGATATTTATAAGCGTCTTTGATTGCAACAAAAAAAAAAAGCTTGTACATCTTCTGAGCTCTAGCTATTTCTTTCATGCAATTTACATGGGCTCTTATAAGGGCTCCCCTTCAATGGGTGGGGAGAGGTGGGGGAAAGGTTACAGGGATGGACAGGAGGCAGTTGGGTTGATGTCAAGAGAAGGTCACTGCACTGCCCTTCCTGCTGACCAGAAGAGTGGTACGCAAGTGCGCGCATTTATACCCTATGCATACCCAGTGAAGCCATCTTTTACCCACCCTCCCACCTATGAACCTGGCAAAAGGACTGACTCCCTCTTGACAGACTGTGGGAATTACACTAGTTGACCATTTCCTTGAGGAACTGGGAAGGAATTTTTCTCTCTTTGCCAGATTGGCCAACGCAGGGTGGTTTTTTCCACCTTCCCCACAGGAGGTCTGGGGTCCACTGGGGTGGAGTAGGTTATAATTAAGGCTACGTTTTAGTCACGGGTATTTTTTTTGTAAAAAGTCAAGGACAGGTCATGGGCAGTAAACAAAAGTTCATGTCCCGTGACCTGTCCATAACTTTTACTATATACCCGATTAAAACTTGGGGAGGGGGCATGGCTGCTGCAGGGGTCATGGCCCGGGGGATGCCATGGGTGCTTGGGGGTGCCACGGATGCTTGGGAGGGTGCAGCCCAGGAGAGCACTGCGGGTGCTGGGGAGGAGCGGTTGGTGGGGCTGGAGCAGGCTCCCTACTCGGCTTCTGGGAAGCGGCGACCTCCAGCTCCTAGCGCCATATGCTGCCGCCACTCTGCCCCAAGCCCCAGTTCTGCAGCTCCCATTGGCTGGGAACCAAGGCCAATGGGAGCTGCGGGGGCGGTGCCTGCAGGCAGAGAAAGCATGTGGAGCTAGGAGCTGAGGGAGGGGAGTCCCTGTTGCCTTTCTGGGGAGCCCCTTCCCCCCAGGTAAGCACTGCCCTGCACCCCAACCCACAGCCCCCCCACAGCCAAACTACTGCTGCTGGGGGGCAGGGGAAGGGGAGGGAGAGGGCGAGACTGCCCCAGCAGCAGCTGGTGCAACTAGCCCGGGACTGCCCGAGCTGCTCAGGCGGCTCTCAGGCCATCCGCACTGGCCACTGCAGAAGTCACAGAGGTCAGGGACAGTCATGGAATCCATGACTTCCGTGACCTCCATGACAAACACGAAGCCCTAATTATAATGTTGCAACTTAGCATGTAAAACTTGTGGTAGATGTCCAGTGCAGGTACTTGGTATGGAAGGGATACGGTTATCGAATAAAGTGGATTGGGAAAGGATTTGAAGGAAAGCAACCCTTAAGAGAGTCGAGTAAGGGAGGTTTGATGCTCCTACATCTGGAGCAATGGTGAGCCAACTCCTCTGCTTTTATAGTCCCTTTTCACCTCATATGAGGAGAGGGTGGTAGAATCCTCACAGCAGGATAGCTGGGACATGGTTGGGGATTGTGACGGGGTTGGGACTCACCACCTGACGCCTCCTACTGGTTGTCTCGGGAATTAGCTCTGTCCAGTGGAGCGCCCCCTCCTGGTGGTGTCCCGTCCGTCGTCTTGCCCTCGGTTGGCGTGTCCGGACCCGCGTTGCTCCCAAGCTCGCGGCGTCCTCTTCGAGCCACTGCCCTCCAGCAGTGCCCCTTAGTCCATCCTCGCCCCCTTTCAGGGTGGGGATCAATCAGCTGCCTCTCTGCGTCCTGGCCGATGTGGCCAACTGCACCCTCAAAGTCACTCCCCTCTTGGGAGGGGGTTGGAGCAGCTCTAGATGGTCGCTCTGTCGGCCGGGTGCAAGGCAAGGGGGGGGACCCAGGCCCACCCACTACGCTGAGTCCCAACCCAGGGACCCTCTAGTGGCAGCCGTCCTGCCCTCTTTCTCTCCCTCCATCTGTCCACGTCCCTGGGCCGCTTCCCCTTCGGCCCCTCGCACCAGCTAGGCCCTTCCCTTCAGGGCCTGCAGCTTGACAGACTCCGGGCTGGAGTTACCCTCTGCTCCCCCAGGCCTGCCCAGCACTGTGCTGTCCCGGGTGCTAGTCTCCCAGCCTGGAGATAGACCTTCCCCTGTCAAAGGCCTGGGACAGACTGCCTGCTCCTGTCCTGAGCAGCCTTCTTATAGGGCTGAGTCTGGCCCTGATTGGCTCCCTCCAATCTGGGCCCTGATTGGCTCCCTATAAGGCCTTCCCTGATTGGCTCCCTGTCTGCGCAGGCCCACTGGAGCCCCAAATTCAGGGAGTGGGGCAGCCGCCCCACTACAGGGATTATGTGGAAATTAATAAGAAAAGGATAATGACCTGCACTGTACAATTTGTTGCCCGATACTTTAAATGAATAACATTGCAGCCTAGTGAAACTATCTCCATTGCGTCCTGTTTTTCTTCTGGCATGGCTGGACAATTGGCTGCTACCTGAACCTTTGCTATTTGTCTCACTACCTGATCCAAATTCACAGTTTAGATTCACTGCTGGATCCCAAATTATTTTCTGGTTCTGGTTTGAACACAGCTGAAATCTCATGAGATTTCAGTGACAATATATCTGAACCCAAACCCCGATTTAGTCTCAAAATTGAACTTAAGGGGACTAATCTAATATCTGGATCTGACCAGCGGTGGCTCCAGGCTCCAGCGCTCCAAGCACGTGCCTGGGGCGGCAAGCCGTGGGGGGCAGCCTGCCGGTTGCTGTGAGGGCGGCAGTCAGGCAGCCTTCGGCGGCATGCCTGTGGGAGGTCCACCGGTCCCGCGGATTTGGCGGCAATTCGGCGGCGGGTACGCCGAAACCACGGGACCGGCAGACCTCCCGCAGACAAGCCGCCGAATCCGCAGGACCGGGGACCTCCCGCAGGCATGCCGCCGAATCCGCAGGACCGGGGACCTCCCGCAGGCATGCCGCCAAAGGCAGCCTGCCTGCCATGCTTGGGGCGGCATAAAAGCTAGAGCCGCCCTGGCTCTGACTTTGCCCACGTGCTCCATGTCTACTCTCTCTCAAGGAATTATTAATTCTTGAAGGCCACCTCTCCTGGAAATTGTCATATGTATGGAGAATGAACTAAATAACTAAAAAATGTTTAGGGCCTCTCAAAAGATAACACTCTGACTATGAGATAGTTCTCATGGAGGACCAATGTGAAAAACATGTTCAAAGTTTGTAGCCCAAGACATTTTTTAGCTAGAGTAAGTGGACATAAAAGTTAAACAAAATTTAAAAAAGCGAACACCCTCCCCACCCCAAAATCCCATTAGTGAAAAGTGTTCAACTGGTCTCAATCTTTCAGAAAAAAAGGCCTTCTCTGGCCTTAGATTAAGCATGAGAAGCTTCAGGCTGAAAATGAGGTGTGTGTGTGTGTGTGTGTGTATGGTTTTTTGCAAGTTTGGGAGAATAAAGGGAGTGGAGCAAAATTAGACTTATAATGGAAATGTATCGCAACTGTTCCATATCATTTGCTAATGATTATATGTTTGATGCTGAATGAGAATGGAACTCCCATTAACACACAGTATTTTTCTTGGCTTCAGCACTTACTACGAAATCATCATCATCCAGAACAGCTCCTTTGGTCACCAAAACAACAGCCAAACGGTCATCTAAAAATTCAGAGAAGAGGAAGCCAAAGAAAGTAGTACAATCCCATGAAGTTATGGAAGGTAGGAAAGAATACAAATGCAATGGAACTGGGCATTACCTGAATGAATATTAAAGGTCATTCCACAGTTCTGGATATAGAAAGCTAATATGAGACATTACCAGACAGCTACCAGACTTATTTATAAAGCTTATTACATCATCTACTTCTCAGAGAAGAGCTTATTGGCTTTTAAGATCTATCCTTGCTAATATAAATGTTAGAAAAGTGTGGTGATCTCTCTTCGGTCCCTAGTGGATTTTCATTCACATCTCAATAAAGATTATATGAACAATTGGCAATTTCAGGAAGAGTCCAGGACTGTAAAAACAGAAGTACAATAGTTCAGGACAGCAGTGTGTTGACAGAGCTGAGAGGGGAAACTTACACAGCAAGGGTCTGATGCTCCAGTTAAGCCAGGCTGCATAAAATTTCAGAAAATACCCAAACTTTGTGGAAAGTGCAAAACACCTTTTTTTCCTAGTGTTGTTATATTATATAATAACTTGTTAGATTATAGGGTGACCTTGAAGTTCATATGCTTATATTGACTGGGACAGATTCAAACTTGATGTAACTCTATTCACTACAATAGTAACACCAGGGGTCAATCATGGCAAATGTATGAGGGTTTTTAAACAGATAAACCTTTAAAACTCCTGCAAAGTGGAGTTTGCAATAATGACAATAATTTCCCATAGAGAGATAATACAGTGGATCAAAGGTAAAGAAATTACATTCATTTTAACTTTTTAAAAGACACCGAGAATCTTTAACAAGGATCCAAATCCATTTATTGTATATTGCAGATGTTAAATGGGAGAAAGACCTAGTCTATAATGCTTTGCCAGTACAGTAGTGTTCCTACAGTACGTTTACAAGTGCAGCGTTTCTCAGACAGTGGTCTGTAGAGCACTTCCAGGTGGTCTACAGAGAGACAGATCTGTCACAGTGTTGTCTAACACTCATTAAGCAGCAATGCTTGCTGTTAGCAATAGCCCAGATCTAAAGATTTCCAGTGGCTTTTTTGAGAAGCTAAATGAGCATTGCTCTGAACCACATGCAGACGTTGCATGTCTGTCAGGTTTTTGGGAAAATAGGTGTGTAAATTTAGGTCGGATAGTAGATAACACCAAAATTGAAGCAAATCATATAGAAGGACAGAACAAAACTGTACAATATTTTGGAGATACGATACAATGAAAGATTAGGCATTTATACACTTAAGGCCAATTCCTGATCAATTTAGATATGCAAGTATAATCTGACTAAAGTCAATGGGACTACTAACAAAGAGTAAGGCAAGCAGGTTTTGATCTAAGTTCATGGAGAGGAAATAAAGCGCAGAATATAAAATGGGAGGACTTGTAACCAAGATGTTACCATGCAGTTGCAGTAAAGTGAGCTAATTTTCCTTTTGTCTCCTTACTATTCTCCTATTAATACTTGTCAGATAACCAAGCTTTATCATAACAACAGGGAAGGTGTGCAGTCGGGATTAGGAGATTCAGAGGGAAGCAGATCCTCCCAGGGATCATAAATTTTATGAAGTGGTCCACTATATGAGAAAGATTGAAAAGCCCTGTACTAGAGTGTTTTCCTGTTTATTAGTTTTAAAGATCTCCAGTAAAGTTTACAAAAAAACTTCTAAGCCAATTTTTCTCAGGTACGGGAGACTCCTTTGAAATGCCTTTAGCCCCACAGGGTTTCTGGTTATGTACCACTTATATCTCAGAGGTGTATATTACAAACAATTCTAAAATCAGAGGATAGGGATAAATGTATGTTTAAATATGATTAAAAATTTAAGGGCCAAGCTTTTCAAATGACCCCCTTTTAATATATAGTCTGAAATAAGTTATTGGTTGACAAATATTATGGGCCTGATTCTCCCCTCACAGAATAAATCTGAAGTAACTCCACTGGCATGAATTAGAGGAGGATCAGGCCCTATATCTATCCCATGTCCCCATTTTTTTTTCTCCAAAGGCAGAAAGTCTGAATTTGAATTCTTAGGACTTTCCCTTTTTAGTCTATTCTGCAGGTCCTGTACACTCTTTGTTAGAATCCTGAGCTTTTTCTGATTTTAAACCCCTTTACAGCTGATCTGTCACTGCCTTTACATAGACAACAGCCACCAGCTCAGCCACACACACATGAAATGGGGAATAAACCTCAGAACTTTCTGCTCTAAAATCACAGTCTTCCAATATTAAAGGAGGCTGCCATGGGGTCATATTTTCATGCAATATGATCACAAGATTTGGCAGCACTGCTACCTCCTACTGAGTGTTGCTTCCATTCATTGATGGTTAAGGAGGCAAAAAATTTCAAATTACACTTCACATCATCTTATTTACTCCAAATCTTTATCTTTTGAGAGCAATTTTGTTTTAAACTGTGCATTAGCTTCTTACACATCTTATTTTGCATGACTTTCTGTTTTCACCAATTATTTTACTTGGCTGCAGAACGTTCAGAATCTGAGAAACAGAAATCTTCTTCCTCATCGTCTTCCTTGTTGTCATCCACAACAATTCGGAAAACAAAGGCTTCAGCAAGAAACCCCAGTGAAAAAAACCAAACAAATAAAATTAAAAACAAAAACAATAGAAAAGTGAAGGATACCATGAAAGGTATGGATTGTGATGAAATTTAAACTGTATATACAGTGGTATAATAGAAGCTGATGTTTAGCAGTGCATGCTTGTCTTTCTGTGTTGAAGGAATTCTTAAGGGTTTACCACAAACTCTCCTCTTTGCTAAGATTTTTAATTTAGCATCTGATTAAATTCTTTAAGTATTGATCCTTCAAGATGTTCTGCATGGGCAGACCATTAAACCCACATGGAGCTCCACTGAGGTTCTGTACAGGTATTTGGAACAGGTTGCCAGATCAGGACCTTAGAGAGGACATGTGGGGCAAAGATTTTCAAAGGTTAATGTATTGGAAGCACATTAATGAATGCCTCAATGAACCATACCTGTAAAGTCCCATATTTGTGTGTGCATCAGGTTCAACTGATACACATACAGTTTTGGTGAATAAGTTTTGAAAATTTGGCCCATTACATATGAGCAGTAGTATATGGTGAAGCAGCTTCTGAGCAGATTTGCTGTTGGCGTAAGGGACAGCAGGTCAGTTATGGGAATGGCTTTTATATACTGTGCACTACAGTACAAAACAATGCATGTTCAGATTGAACCTTTATTACTGGCAATGTACCTAGCTTGAATGTCAGCGCCTAGGCTTAGTTTTCAGGTCTGGAAGGCAGACAACATACCTAATTTTACTTGTAAGCTGAGAACATTTGATACAGAACTCATTAAGGGACAATAAACATAGAACCCCATGTTGCCATTTCTACAGGGTCACTTTTCAGAGCAGAGCCACCATTTATGGTTCACACAGAAAGAGACCAAAATTAATATATTTCCATGGAAGAATCGGAATATCCTAAGCAGCATGCAGAAGTCCGCTTTTAGCTAATGCAGCATCTCTTCCTTTTCAGATCTTCAATGTGCACCAATAGCCCTATCCCCTTTTTTAAAAATGAAAAACAATCTCCTTCATATATAATAAAGCAGCTGAAGCCAAAAAAATAAATAATAAAAGCCCACCAAAACTACATATAACCAGAGTCAACCCAAAATTTTGTAAAAAAACTTACATAGTAAGTAAGTCACTAGGCAGGCTTAGGTAACCCATGTTGAACTTTGGTAGGAGGGAGATTAGACAGTGTGGCACATTGAAATCTCTTTTCTGAAGAAGGATGTGAGTGGGTTTGTTAGGTGGGAGTGGTTTGGAGTGTTTGCTACCCTGACTGAGGAAGGTCACGCCCCTGGAAGGGCCACAGCAGGCTCTCATGCTGGGGTTGACTGCAGGTACATACAGGATAGAATTGCCGACACAGTGTTGCTCTCAAAATTGCTGGGCCCTGTGTCAGAGCATATTTGGCCCAGCGCTAAGGTTGGCCGTGTAATACGTAAGGCTCCTTTGGACTCTATTAACTTTTATATTACAAGTATAATATGTCATTAACCCCGTGAGGCCAGAAGCTGGGGTTTTCTAGAACACATCCTTTTTCCAGCCCAGCACCATCTACATTTACCATTTGTGTATTTAACAACTAGAAAAGGTAAAAAAAAATCTAACCTGTCTCCACCGGAACGTCTGGTCGAAAAGGGACCTTCCCCTGCCCAGTGAAAATGAGAGAGAGTGAGTGAGGGTGGGGGAGAGCCAGCGATGGAGGGAGGGGTTATGGAGTGAGCGTGGCAAGGCCTCAGAGAAGGGGCAGGACAAGGGTGTTCAGTTTTGTGCAGTTAGAAAGTTGGCAACCCTAGAGAGACTTCCCATTTCCTCACACGGTTTGTTATTACAGTTAGAGAACCAACTGACATTGGAAGAACACAACATAGTGCATCACCGCATGTCACAATATTAGGATAGTTTCATAAGGACATAAAAATGTAGATGGCATAAGTCTGTGATAATTAAAATAACTTAGGCCTTTCTATTTTCAAAGGTGCACTTACTTAACTAAAGGTGTAATTTTAAATCAATTTAGTTAAACCAATGAAAAATCTTGCATGGACAGTCTTAACACAGTTTAAACCTGGCTTTTATCATTTAGCTTAACTCAATTCCTTATCTCCTGATGAATTAAACTAAACTGATAAAAGCTACGTTTAAATTGAATTAAGATGTCCACAGAGTTTTGCACCAACCACGTAGGGTTCTAAACTGATTTAAGTTAAAACAGTGCAACTTTACAGAAAAAAAAAATGAAAAAGGTATTGGTACAAGTCACAAGAGTTGCAACTATTTCCATCTGTGTTTACAAAAAAAATATGAGTGGTTACTGTGTCAAATCCAAAAGAACAAATGCTGGAATACTGTAAAATATGAGAAAATAAAAAGTGGTGCTTTAACTTGATATGCACTTCTTGTAGAGCAAGATTCAAAAAACAGAAGAACTTCATCCAGGACTTCTACATCTGATGAAATAAGAGAGATTTCTGAGGAGATTGGCAGTGGATTGGACAATGTGGCTACCAGGCCTGCTCCTACTGCAAAGCGCCCTGACAGAAAAATTTCAAGACAAGGAAATAAAGGTACAACAGCAGCTCCTTTGTCAGAAGAAAGTTTTAGCCAGACCCCTGCCTCCCAGCCAGATCAAGTTACTATGCCCTTCAAAATGAATACTACAAAGACATTAAGTCCGAAGACCAACATGCAACTTACTACTACAAGTATGGCTAAGATCTCAGCATTAACTAATTCAGCTCATTTCACTAAAGCTAAAGACACAAGTACTACAGCTATGAAAAATGCCACAACTACTACAGCTAAAGGGATGACCACAGCTAAGAGAGACAAAACTACTGTAGTGATAGAGACAACAACATCATCTAAGAAATACACTACAAAAACAGCTGAAGAGCCAACAGCTAAAAGTGACACAACTACTGTAGCTATGAAGATAACAACAGCTAAAACAGACATGACTACAGCAGCTAGGAAAGCAACAACAGCTAAAAGTGACAGAACTAGTGCTGCTAAAATGGCAATGACAACAGGTAAAAGAATCACACCCACAACAGTCATAGAGAAGACAACAACAGATAAAAATGATATGACTACTGCAGCTAAAGAGACTAAAATAACAACAGAAAAGCAAGGCACCACGACAGATAAAACAATACGCAGAAAAGACACAACTACTCTAGCTAAAGATACTGTAATGACAACAGATGAAAGAGACCTAACTACTCTGGGCAAAGAGACTGTAACAACAACAGAAAAGAAAGACACAACAACTGCAACAGCTGGAGAAACAATAACCACAACAGATAAAAAAGTCACAACTATTGCTGAGAGAGAGACTGTAACACCTAAAACAGTCACAGCTGCAGCTAAATTCACTATAAAAACAACAGATAAAAAAGACACAACCACTGCAAATGATGAGATTATACTAACTCCAGATGAAAAAGACTTAACTAAAAAAGACACATCTTCTGCAGTGAGGAAGACTGTAACAAGAGCACCTAGAACAGACACAACTGCAGAAATTCAAGACACTGGAACAGCAGCAGGCAAAAAAGATACAACTACTGTGGACAAAGAAAACATGCCAACAGATGAAAGAGACAAAACAACCACAGGTAAAAAAGACACAACGACCATGGACACAGAGATTGTGATGACTACAGCGGAAAGAGACACAACAGATAAAAAAGACACAATTACTGCAGAGAGAGAGACTGTAACAACAACAGCTAAAACAGCCACAACTGCTGCAGCTAAAGACACTGTAACATCAGCAGCTAAAAAAGACACAACTACAGCAGGTGAAGAGATTATATTGAGTCCAGATGAAAAATACTTAACAACTAAAAAAGACACAACTACTGCATATAGAGAGATTGTAACATCGGCTACAACAGCCACAACTGCAGCTGCTAGGGAGACTGTAACAAGAGCACCTCAAACAGACACAACTACAGAAACTAAAGATACTCTAGCCACCACAGGTAAAAAAGACACAACTACCGTGGACAAAGAGACTGTAATGACAATAGATGAAAAAGACAAAACAGCAGATAAAAAAGACATAACTACTATAGCTACAGTCAATATAATAACAACAGATGAAAAAGACACAATAGATAAAGCCACAACTACTGCATCCAGAGCTACTGCAGCTAAAAAATCTGTAATGACAACAGCTAAACTGGACACAACAGCAGCAGCTAAAAAGACACAAACTACCACTAAACAGACACCTATTGCTGCTGAAGTAACAACTGTGGCTATAGAACTGACAACTGCAGATAAAGAAGAGACTGTAGATAACAGACAGAAAACTACAGCTACCGAAGAAACAACAACTGAAGAGAAAAAAGAGTTAACTACTGTTATCAAAGAGAGAACTACAGAGGACTCAAAGGGCATGACTACTGCAGCCAAAGAAAAAATCATGAATGAAAAAAAAGAGATAAATACTGTTCTCCAAGAGACAACTACAAGTGATACAACAGAAATAACTGCTGCTGATAAAGAGATAACTATAGCTGATAAAAGAGAGATAACCACTGTTACCAGAGAGACAACAATGGCAAATAAAAAAGAAACAGATGCGGTCACTAGAGACACCTCTACTACCAATAAAAAAGAGGTAACAACTGCTACCAAAGAGACAGGTACAGTGGATAAAAAAGAAAAAGCTTCTGATGATAAACAGGCAACTACAACAGGTAAAATAGACACAACTGCCAGTACTGTCACTAAAGAAACACTGACTGTCTCTGAAGAGGTGTCCACTACAGCTAAAGGCTCCCAGGAAAGACCTGTGTCACCAACAGAAGATAAACCTGGTACCACTGTCACTCAAATCGCACCAGTAAAAGCGACTGCCAAACCCACCATTGAACCTGAAAAAAACACTAAGTCTGCGATACAAATTACTGCTACTCCACCCATAAACCTTTCTACCTCTCAACCTAAAGACCTCCCTGAAACAAAAGTCCATTTTGAAACCACAAAAGAAACTTCTACTGTTACTAAAAGATCTACAGCAACTTCCATTTCCAAGGAGACTACTGAAACCAAAGACATCTCTGAAAATACATACACTACAAATACAACCACCCAGGAAATCACAACACAGTTTCCAACTGAAAAATTACAAACTTCCAAGATCATCATCAGTCCTTCTTTGGCTCAGAAACCAGCTACCCACCCAGTCACTCCTGAGCAGGAGAAACATATAGATAATTCAAGCCCCACTGCAATTAATCCAATGACTCTTCCAGACAGTAATTTCCCTCGCAGAAACACAGAAAACCCTAAAGAAACTCCTTTCACACATTTCCCCACTAAAACATACTCATCAATATCTTATTCAACTAAAGCTCCTGAAAGAAGCCCCACTATACACACAGACTCCAAACTGCAGGACGAGAACAACACAACTTACAAAGGTATATTTCTTTACAATTGTAACATTTATATTTATAGGGATGAACAAATGAAATTTCTCAGATAGCCAGAGCATGTCTCCATTTCAGGAACCATACGTTTCTGAAGAGATTACTTGGAACGTTGACTGTAAGTACCAGGGAACATATGAATCAAAACAGGGTCAAGGAATAAGGCTAGAGGGAGATTTCCAAGTCTCATGAAAGTATTCCAGCAAATCATTGGCTAGAGTTCAACTATTAGTCATGTGACCTAATTTGGCAGCCATTTTGCACTGATACCCACAATAAAAAACAAGACACATCCCACCCCTCAGGACTCCTTCCAGCTGCAATATTGTTCTTGCCCTCACTATCCATTATATTTTAATTAAATTTTAGCCCTATTATTTTCCTTTGACAGTTTTCCAAATTCACATATTCCTGAATATTTTGCTACAAGTAGGCACCACTAGACCTAATATTTAAATACTAGAGTATTCACCCATCCTTTATGATTACATAACTTAAACTACGCATATACTCATTCTTAAGAAAAAAAAGAGCTGCAGGAAACATTACATGGTGTCTGTTTCATTCACACTTATGAGTGGAGAATTCTGATGTGGTTTTGCATCCACTTTTAATTGGTGTGAATGACAGCATGAGGTGCAAGCCAATGGAGAGTTGAAATCAATGGGAGCTAGATGCCTAAATACATTCAAGGATCTGAGCCTAAATCTATATCTGCTCTATGTGAATGAAAGAGGAGACAAGGAAAATATTTTCAGGACCTCTTGGTTTGAGACAGCTCAGCTATACTATGAAGGACTGAAAATTTCCTGCAGTTTTTTTGTTTCCCAGCTAAAACCCAGAGTACAGAGAACTGTGAAAAGTTGATTAAAACAAAACAGAAGAGGTAAATTCTTTTTTCAAATTTCTATAAGAGATTTCTGGACAATTTGAGTCAGTTCTTATCAGACCTAAATCCATTTACCCAATGCACAATATTTCAGCCCTTTTAGACTTTTTCAAATAAGCATTGTTTTTAAAGATAGTATTTAAACAAAGAAGAGCAATCCACTAAATAGGCAGGAAATGGATACAAAATTAAATATAAGTTTTATGTGAGAGCTAATTAATTTGGTTATTTATTATGGTATACTTAGAATTCTACCCAATTTTTTTTCTGAAATGCAGGAACTCAAAATATTAACAAAAGAAAACTATAGATTTCTATAAAAGTATCGGAGTTTATATTCTTTGGTAACAAATATCAAGGTTAAAACTTTGGATAACATATCTCAAATGAACAATAGCTATTACTTGTAACAAATATAGGAATCAGAACCCTGGTTCCTGAATAGTCTCAAACACTAGGAAGGAATGGTGCTTGTCTGCAGCATTCCTATTCAAAGTTTTACTTTTATGCTTTTTTATAGTGTAATAAGTTGATGAATACACAGTATAGGTTTCCCTGTGCACACTCCAATAAATAAACTAAGAGTCTGTTCCATTAACAAGAGGTTTATTTTACCTGACAATCTCAAGGCATTTTAAACTATTCTTTGAACTTCAACTTCATTTAAATAAAAAACTATACACTAATTATTTTGTACCAGATGAACAAGATAAGAATTTGTGTAACGGAAAGCCAGCAGATGGAATAGTTGCTTTACCAAATGGAACATTAGCTGTATTCCGAGGTGAGTGGTCGACTGGATTTTTATCATTTTCGTGCCTTCACTTATGTTTTAATTAAGTACTTACTTTTTGGCCTTTCCTAATGATCAGATAATATATATTTGGCTATTGTCCATTTAAGTCCCACTTCCTGATGGCAAAAGGAGGCAACAGCTCAATAGTACTTCCAGGGCCTCACAATTAGTGTGGCAGAGGACATGGCATAATATTTGCCTTTGTGAGTGGTGCTCTGTCCAAATCACTACCAGGAGTGTAATGTAAACATATAATGAAAATGCCATGTGATGCATTTTGTGTGTGTTACAAGCAATTGATTGAATCTCAAAAAGTTCAACTTCCAGAGGTTCATTTTAGAGTATGTGTTACAGACAGGGACCCAATATAATGTAATTACCGGACACTTATTTTGGTGCATATGGCACATTATTGTTAAATTATTGCAATGTTTATGCTCTAGAATCTAAGATTTCATTCAAAAAATTCTCTAGCCCTTATAGTGATGAAGTAAATCTTCCAAATGTAACGGAGGGCTTGTCTACACTTACTGAGGGATCAACAAGCAGTAATCAACCGCAGATCGCTCTCCCGTCGACTCCTATACTCCACCGGATCGAGAAGAGTAGGGGGAGTCGATGGCAGAGCATCTCTCATTGACATCACGTAGTGTGGACCCCGCGGTAAGTAGATCTAAGCTACGTCGATTTGAGTTACGCTATTCGTGTAACTCAAATTGCGTAGCTTAGATCGAATTTCCTCTGTAGTGTAAGACAAGGCCTGATACAGGAATGTCTACTTGAGTCTGAAGACTACCTGTAATACCAGCTCTGGGGTCAGTGTAAAAAATAAACTGCTTAACAAAATAAACACACATAGGCATTACTGTACTGAATGGGAGCTGGGATAAACGATGCATAACTTTGGGGACAACTACACATAAGTTAGTTTTATTGTGCTAAGTAGGATATGGGCTACAGAAAAGCCATGGAAATTTCTCTTTGCAGGAACCCCAGAACACCAATTCATGCCTTTACCCATCCCAATTTCCATCCTCCGCTAATAACTTCTCCACTCCCACTGCTGCTCCCTTCTCTAATTTTTTAATTCTGCCTGATCCTAGTGTTTGATGAATACATGAACATACAGCCCCATTAACAATTATTAAAACTTTATAGGAAGCAAGGACGAGATGACGTTAAGAAACTAACAGAGAAAAAGGTAGAGTTAAAATAAGGGGTATAGATAGGAGCCAGAGATAGAAAAGGCATAGAAATCAAAGGAAATTAATATCCAAATAAATTACTCTACAGCAATAATCAGACACTCTATCCCTCAAAATAATCATATCTCCTCAAATAATTAAATGTGACTGGCGTCCCACAAACAGAACAAAATAATAAAAAGTGAGAGCAGTCCAGGAGTTTACCCATAGCCCTTGGAGTGAACCTCTGCGTACTACTACGTGGGTGCTTGGGGTCACCAACCCGAACTATTGACCTCACATGAGCCTGACGGGCTCCAGACTAGCCCTTCACTCACCCCTGATCCCTTTTGTATGTACCACTACATGTAGCATAGCCAGTACTCAATGTTGTGGTGGTATCTCATTTCAGTGCAGATAGTTCGCCTTCTGGAGTGGACCTAGGTTGCTCAAAGCCAGGTGCCTTGATGAGGCCTAATAGGGGAGGTGGGGAATTAGGCCTCCCCTGCTGAATAGTGGAATCTGAGAGTTCCTTGTTGATCGTAATGTGTAGCTTGATGAGCGTGAGGGGTGAAGGGAAGGGCTGGCTCTTCTCCCCACTCAAAGCCTTCTGTACTTCAGCTGTTTGGGGACAGCTAGCTTGGGATGAAGCCTCCCTGTGAAGCTGGGTGCTGCAGGATGGCACGGTTTCTCTTTCTGGGAACAAAGGGGCTTTGCACCATCTATGCCCTTTTCCCAAACAGTGTGTTTGTGCAGCCTTCATGCATGTGGCTAGGTGATCACAGCCACAGAAAGGACATTCTGGGGTTGTGGTTGGCTGTTCTGTCAAGTCAGTTAAACTCCTCCTCCTCTTTTCTGTCCCAACAGCATTGCGCAGACTTCCCGTGTCCTCCTCCTCCCCCAAGCTTGCTGAATGTTACTTTTCCAGCAGATGCTTCTGGGCTCCAGGCACTGCAATTACATGGAGGGGCTGATCCTGCTAGGTGCTGAGGCACCTCTGTTACCTTGGGCACTCAGCCTTGCAGGTCTGAGCATTTAGAGAGGATGTTATGCCATTTCAAAGAGGGTGGCTCTGTGGTCCTTGCTTCTACTATTTAGAATTCTTCTATATGTGGCATTGTCTGTACTATTTAAAAAAAATAAAAGAGTAAGTAGGGGCAAAATGGTGCACATCAGTGAGATTTTTCAGGGCTAGAACTATTTTTTATTTTGCAGGTCATTACTACTGGCTGCTGGATTCAGCTAGGCAGCCAACAGTGTCCCCTCGTAAAATCACTGAGGGTTGGGGTATTCCATCCCCCATCGATACTGTCTTTTCCAGATGCAACTGTGATGGCAAAACCTTCTTCTTTAAGGTAGGGAAGTTATCTTGCTTAGTTTGAATGTTTTAAAAGATTTAATTTCACAGATGCCTCTACAAATGAAAAAAAACAAAACAAAACAATGAAGGGCTGTATAGCAAAGGGTAATAGTAAAGAAATAGGTTCATGAGCTCAGCTGTCTAATTGCCCAGTTTGCCTTAACAAGTATTCCTGTTGGCATTCTCATGAAAAAGGTCAAGGACTGAAGGGACATGCAGACTGAATTAATCCTTCTAAGGCAGTTAGAGAGGATGCTGGTGAGCCCACAAAGGGTAGCTTTCGCTGCAGAGGCCTGTATTGTATGCATTCTATAGCCAGAGAATATCAGTTCTCAGAGTTGTCAAGCTGGATCCTTTCCTGTGCTCAAACTCTCATTATATAGATGTAAAACTGACTACCGAAACCATGGCAACAATATACTAGAATTAACAAGCTGCAGCTGTGTGGGGGCTGTGACACTCAGGCTCCCACTGATGATGCCTTAACATGGTTTCCTTTCCTATTGCCATGTTGTATGTCTGAGGTAAGAACCTGCAACAGGCAGAATGATCCCAAGTACTATGACAAGACAAAAATCCTCTTTGCAGCAGAGAATGCAGTGCTCTTTCTATGATTTGTAAGTTATACAGTATACAGTCCTTCAAGTGCACTGAGCCGGGAAAGAGAATTTCTAAGAAGGGTGCTGAGGTGTGCACATTTTTAGTACCACCTGAGGAAAAACCCTTTCTGAATGGCTGCTTTCTCCACTTGCCTGCCTCCTGAAGTACAGCAGCCTGGTAGAGCTCTCCATCCCCTCACACCAACTTTCATAGGAGAGAAAGGCAACCAGAAAGAGCCCAGCAGCTCAGGGCACCTCCTCCCTTCCTGTGAGCAAGGAAAAGATGGCTCCTCAGCAACACTGAGCCTGGGAAGGTGAAAGAAGGGATCCTGCTACAGGCCCAGGCCAGGGAGGGCTGGTGGTGAAGAACCTCAGGATTGATGGGAGGGTTGGGGGCAGAATTAATTGATGGGGGTGGGGGTGAATTCAGACCACTTTAAGTACTGGTTATATGTGAACAAACAATGGATATGGGTGGGGGATGCCTGCTCTTTAAGCCATCTGCAGTGTAACAAGCACAGCTATGTAAAGTCCAGTCTCGGTACTTTTAAACTGCTCCTAACAGGAAAGGAGTGTTAAAGTATTCAAGTGTTGTTTGATGCAATTCCCACTGGAGGATAAGAAATTCCTACAAAACAAGTAGAAAGAGTAAGGCTGACTGTACTATGAACAGAAGCTTCTTACTCAACAAATTGGCTCATTTGTACTCAGAATCTTCTGTTTACTGCAGTAACAAAACAAAAGGCTATGGCTACACTGGCGCTTTACAGCACTGCAACTTTCTCGCTCAGGGGTGTGAAAAAACACCCCGCTGAGCGCAGCAAGTTACAGCGCTGTAAAGCGCTAGTGTAAACAGTGCCCCAGCGCTGGCAGCCGTGCTCCCAGTGCTGTAAGCTAATCCCCTCGGGGAGGTGGAGTACTTGCAGCGCTGGTGCCGCGACCACACTTGCACTAAAAAGCGCTGCCGCAGCAGCGCTTTGGAGTTTCGAGTGTAGCCATGCCCTAAGGCTATGTCTACACTACACAGCTTTTAGCAACACAGCTGTATTGCTAAAAGTCACACAGTGTAGCCTGTTTATCGGCTTTCCTGCCCATAAAAAACTTGCACCTCCAACAAGCAGGGTTAGTTCTGTTGGCAGGAGAGTGCTCCTGCAGACAAAGTGCTGTTCACATTGGTGCTTGTCGTTGGCAAAACTTCTGTCTTTCCGGGGTGGGGGTTAACACCTCTGAAAGACAAAAGTTTTGTCGTTCAATTGCCAGTGTAGACAAAGCCTTTCTACTTTTTAATCTTGCTAGTACTGCAGAGCCAATGCAAGTATGGGAGTGAGTCCGCTTGTGAATCAACAGAACTGTTAAATATGACCAAACTGCAGCCTTCAGTGAAGCCTCAGTAACTTGACTGATATAGTTGCACAGGTGTTACAGGGCATAATTTGAAAGCACTATGGTTGCACAGGTGTATGCCAGGGTGTAATTTGAACCAAAGTTTTTGATTGGTGATGAACAAGCAGGAAAACACACAAACCCAACTTGACTTTTATAGCCTAGAATGAGGCTAGGACTGGCAGTTAAGAAAAACATTACTTGTCAAATGAGCAAATTTGAGCTGGAGATTAAATACAAATATAAAATTTCAAAGATGGATCCCTACAATGCCTTTTTTAAAGAGGCATTTTTTCATAACAAAATCACATGAAGGCTCCAAGACCATACTGCTCTTCTTATACAGGACAAGTCAATAGTTTTGAGAAACTGAATAACTGACAAATATTTCAGCACAGGGACTAAAGACCTCACAAGAAGATATGCATAGGTGTGTTCATTCTTGTGAAAATAATATTTTGATATTCTTATCGATAAACTAGGCAAATACAACTTAGATGGGGCTACTATAAGGTGGGTGAATAACTGGCTGGATAACCGTACTCAGAGAGTAGTTATTAATGGTTCACAATCCTGCTGGAAAGGTATAACAAGTGGGGTTCCGCAGGGGTCTGTTTTGGGACCGGCTCTGTTCAATATCTTCATCAACGACTTAGATATTGGCATAGAAAGTATGCTTATTAAGTTTGTAGATGATACCAAACTGGGAGGGATTGCAACTGCTTTGGAGGACAGGGTCATAATTCAAAATGATCTGGACAAATTGGAGAAATGGTCTGAGGTAAACAGGATGAAGTTTAACAAAGACAAATGCAAAGTGCTCCACTTAGGAAGGAACAATCAGTTTCACACATACAGAATGGGAAGAGACTGTCTAGGAAGGAGTACGGCAGAAAGGGATCTAGGGGTTATAGTGGACCACAAGCTAAATATTAGTCAACAGTGTGATGCTGTTGCAAAAAAAGCAAACGTGATTCTGGGATGCATTAACAGGTGTGTTGTGAGCAAGACACGAGAAGTCATTCTTCCGCTCTACTCTGCGCTGGTCAGGCCTCAACTGGAGTATTGTGTCCAGTTCTGGGCACCGCATTTCAAGAAAGATGTGGAGAAATTGGAAAGGGTCCAGAGAAGAGCAACAAGAATGATTAAAGGTCTTGAGAACATGACCTATGAAGGAAGACTGAAAGAATTGGGTTTGTTTAGTTTGGAAAAGAGAAGACTGAGAGGAGACATGATAGCAATTTTCAGGTATCTAAAAGGGTGTCATAAGGAGGAGGGAGAAAACTTGTTCACCTTAGCCTCTAAGGATAGAACAAGAAGCAATGGGCTTAAACTGCAGCAAGGGAAGTTTAGGTTGGACATTAGGAAAAAGTTCCCAACTGTCAGGGTGGTTAAACACTGGAATAAATTGCCTAGGGAGGTTGTGGAATCTCCATCTCTGGAGATATTTAAGAGTAGGTTAGATAAATGTCTGTCAGGGATGGTCTAGACAGTATTTGGTCCTGCCATGAGGGCAGGGGACTGGACTCGATGACTTCTCGAGGTCCCTTCCAGTCCTAGAATCTATGACACACTTTATTGATCGAAAAGCTTGAATTTTGCATACCGGTGGTTTGGATGGCCAAGGCATTAGTGCATGCTCTGGAAACCTGCAATAACAATTTGGCAATTGTTGACAGAATTCTATTGATATAGACATTTGTATTTATCAGTTTGAATTTTTCTCATCCTTTCTCCTAGTCCTTTATTTTTATATTACTGTTTATAATTCAAATTAAATAGTTTATTTCTGGAAATATTGATGATTTGTTTATTGTTTTACATGGGGGGGAGGAAATTAGCAATGGCTCCTCTGCGACTGGGAGTCCGTAGTCACAAAGTCCACAGTTGGGAATAAATCAGTGGAGGAGAGAGCAGAATACCTATCTAATTCTTGAAACATTTCTGCTTTCTAAGATTCCAGACTTAGGGCCTGAGAAAAGGATGGGCTGGTTTAAAAGCTGAAATCTCTCCTATGAGCTATTCAAGGAAAAATTCTGGTCTGAAATTGTTTGGTCAAAATGTTGGTTTTCAGCAGAAAACTTCAAAAGAAAATAAAAGCTTTATTTCGTTTTTAACTTAATGTTTGTTTTTGGAATCAGCAAATTGGGGTTCCCATTTTCAATTTAAGGATTTTCAAGATCCCTCCCCCCCCATTTTTTTAGCTAATGCAAAAGGAAGAAATATGTTAGTGTAAGTGGGGGGAGATTATTCCAAAAAACAAAATGGAAATCTAAACAAGTTTTTCACTGTTTCAAAATGTCAATTTGAAATAAAGACATTTAAAAATTTACTCCAGTAAAATCCACATTTGTGGGTATCAAAGCTTCCTGCTAAAAAGCTTCAGTTTTGATTTAAACTTTTTGGAGGGAAAATTTCTCTCTCACACGATTCTGACCAGAGCTCTAATGGAAGGCACAGGACGTGTCCATGGATCAGTCTTGAACTCTTTCAGGTCACCTTATGATGCAAGTGAAGGGAAAGCAGCAGCTGCTGTGCTTCAGTCTCCAACTCCCTGCACTATTAACAGTCAGGGGACATAAATAGTAGAAAAATGTTATTGATGCCACGAACCACCCTTCATCCCCTCTCCCCCAACCCGCACATGTTTTATCAGAAGAGTAATTTATCTGGCACAGTTGGCAGCCCCCAGCACCCTTTTGGAAATACACTGCATGTTCCAGTATGCTAATGATTACAGCAGCGCTAACCATTGGTGTTTGTTTCCTTAAGCAGAGTAATTTAAAATACTGAGTTAAACATAAAATCTGAATTCATTGTTACATTCTCTCCTTATTTTGCTGGAAGGCACAATGCTGTATGAAAGAGAGCAAAAACTAGTTGTACAAAGTTCCTACTTAATAACATGTAATTGTTTATTCTTCAACTCATTTTTGGGGAGTCCTTAATGCTATTTTCACCCTATCTTCTCTCCCTCCATCTCAAGCTCTCTGGGATCCCTGCAAGTTCTTAATTGCACCCCCTATCCCTGAAAATCTGCATTACATATACCTAACAAAGTTATACTAATTTTTCACTGTATTCAGATGCCTTTATATTATATCCCCATCCCTTCATCTGTTTGTGCCTTTAGCGTTGTGATTAGCATCCCAGGAGAGCCAACTGAGGTCACTCAATTAGGGTGAACTACAAAGAATAAGGCAGACAATCCCCAAAGTTGGTGGCCCTTCCAATACTTAGATTTACCAAGCCAGCACAAAACAGCTTCTATAATACCTCATAGGTTACCCAGAACCCAACAGCACAGTTCCCTTGAAGTAACCCAGGGTTGGGCCTCCACCCAGACACCCAAGTCAAATATGATGAGGATTACTGAAAATCTTAGTCATCATATAAAAAAGTTCTACCAATCCCAAAGGATCCGACACATTATCTCCCAGGTTAATGAATATTTCAGATCTTACCCAAATACGTGCTTACAGGCAATCCTTATTAACTAAACTAAAATATATTAAAAAAGAAAAGAGTATTGGTTAAAAGATCAATATACATACAGACATGAGTACAGTTCTTAAGATTCAGATTCATAGCCGAGACGGTGAGCTTTTTAGTTGCAAAGAGTTCTTTCAGAATTAATTCATAGGTTATAGTCCAATATTTATATTCAGGGTGGTCCAGTCAGGACTGGGATCTCAGCCTTGTGGCTTAAGCTTTCACTGCATGAAGCTTCAAGCAGAGCGGAGATAAAAAGGATTGGGACTCTAGGGTCTTTTATACAGTTTTCTAGAAGCCACTTGATCATACAGTCCTGGGTGAACAATAGGCTTTTGATGTAACCTTCTGTTTCCTAAACCTCACCGACAATTAACTACATGGATTAACATAAGATAATTTATCCATTAAGCACTTTACCACAAACTTTAAAGAGACATATAGACAATGACATTATTGCACCCAAGATTAATCTAAATGTTAATATTCCCTTTTGATCTCTGAATCAATAGCTATAGTGACAGACAGAAACTTTCTGTTTACATGGCTAACATTTATGCGTGTACACATACAATTAGTATCACTCCTAACTTCTAACAATATAGGTTTGCATTTTCAAAGTTCTAGCCTATTTACCATGGAATGGCCCTAATTACCATTTCTAACATGTCTCTACAGGTTGACTCTGGGTCAATTAGCCTGCAGGATGCTTAACTCCACGCATCACACTTCGTATAAGATTAGTTGCAATTATGTAACAGTGGTAGCAACAATGATTTGCATTATTTTAATTAGCTAATGTCACACATGTGTAACCCCTTCAGGGAGGCAATTGTCCTTTTTTCTGTGTTGTACAATACCAAGCACAATAAGGTTCTAATCTTGATTGGGGCCTTTAGACATTACTGTAATATAAATATTTACTAAGAGTCTAGAAGCAGTTTTCAGCCTACCATGCCAGGCTAAAATAGGCAGACCTTGCAAACAGATTAGTCTGGTAGTTTGGGTGGGAGTGATTTTGAGCGCCAAATAGCAGCTGTGAAACATGGACTCTCTAGAAAGCCCAGCACTTAGCTTTAGCTGAGGTAGGGGGAACTCTATCACAAACGTAAAGTGGCTGCTGGCAGGTGAAAAGGTTTGTGCGCTAATGGAGGTTTAAGGAGCCTGCAGAGTAATCTCTCGAACATAAGCAACATTAATTTTTAATTTTGATGGATAACAGTAATTAGATGTGGATTTCATAATCACCTGTGTTGTCTACATTGAAACCTATCAGCAATGGACATTTTTTTCTCCTTAAGTAAAAGTTTCTGCTTAAATCTTCAGGGTTCCCAATACTGGCGTTTCACTAACGATGCGAAGGATGTGGGATATCCCAAACAAATTGCAAAAGGATTTGCAGGACTAAGTGGGAAAATAGTAGCCGTTCTTTCAGTAGCACAACACAACAAAAGGCCAGAATCTGTGTATTTTTTCAAGAGAGGTATGTTTCATGTCTACAAATGTTAGAAGTATTCAGTTTATTTCTTTTGGGAATAAAACTCTGCTCCATTTTCAAGTAAGACTGCATGTCTGGCAACAGATAAGTGATGACAACAGTACATAGTGCACCAGAAGATCCTGAGCTAACCTGAGGCTTCAGAGACAGCCTTTGAATGCCAAAGTGAACATGGAAGTTTACTTTTCAGGATAGGGTTATGAGGAAGAGTTTTACCATCATTTGAACGCTATTCCATTCACAAGTTAATGGGGCATGGTAAGGTCTAAAATAGACCAATCACCACATATCTATGTATGGAACTGTTTCTCAGTCATGGTTTCTTTCCTTGTAAAGCACTGGATTTATCTTATTTGAATGGTATAGCATCTACACAGGAACATTTGAAGGCGCTATTCAGATTAAAACAGCTAGGCAAGTAAAATAGACCCAATCCTGCAATCCTTTCCCTTGAGGAATGGGAATTATGTAAGCAGAAAGCCTGCAGCATCAGGCTAGTGCCCTACAATTTCACCTTTTCTTCTCAAGGGTATTGATCCCATTCACGCTACTCAGAATAGTGCTTACTACCATGGATAGTCTCATTGACTTTAACAGAACTACTCACAGAAGTAAACAAATGTTAGGACCAGGTCCTGTTAGCATCATACTTCCAAGTCATATATGTAATTTTGAGGCATTTCAAGCTGAAAGCTTCCTCAATAGCCTTTGGACTCTTATCTTCCCAGCCTAGCAAGTTCATATTAGGGTACTAATGACATTTCTGATTCAACTGTTTTCACAACTGGAACAAACTTCTGCTTCAGGTGGCAGCGTTCAACATTATATCTACAATCAAGAACCAGCCAAAAAGTGCAAAAAGAAAGTATATGTTAGATACCCAGCTTACACACCCAGAGCTGTGATCAAGAGGAAACGCTTTGAACGTGCAATAAGATCAGCAATTGTGTACCACACACCAGTCATGTACCACACTCTCAGAATCAACCATAATCCATCTGGTCAGTTATATTTAATGTTAAATGGTTTTTATCTTCATTTTAAAATTAATGGTTTCTGAAGGACAGTATTTTTCATCTGTTCAACTTCTTGAATGTTTGCTTTTAAATCTCTTCATCCTAGCAGCTGTTCTCTCTCTCAGCTTCTCTTCCCAAGTTATAGCTTTGCACAGCCCATGTTTTAATATATTTTCCTAACTTAAAGCAATTTTCTTGTCTGCAGGAATATTACATCATGAGGTTAAAATAAATTCTTACTGGAGAGGATTTCCAAAAGTAGTTCACTCAGCTATATCAATACCTAACTACCAAAGGCCAGATGACTATGATTACTATGTTTTCTCTAAAGGTACGTTAAAGCTAAAACACGTTAATTCAAATCTCAAAGGCAAGTGTAGTTTTCTGAAATGTGAAGTTACTGACCCTTTCCACTGCAAGAGAACTGCCAAGATGAAGTTAATGAGTACTAGGGTTCAGGCTTAAAAAAAAATGGCAATAACTCAAGCTTCGCCCATAATCCCTGAATAAATGGATGTTTCTACTTAAAATGATCAGCAGAGAAATAGCTAGCCTGTGAAACTCAGTGCCACAAGATGTCAAGCAGACAGGATTAAAAAAGGATTGGACATTTATAGGGATAACAAGACTATCTGGAGTGGTCATTGTAATGACAAACCATTCAAGAATGAAATCCTCACACCACTGAAGTGGTAGGAGTTTTGCCACTGACTTCAGTTAAGTCAGGATTTCACTCAGACACTTCAGGATTTAAATCCCTGTGCTTCAGGGCATAAATCAACCTCTAATGGGGTTAAGGAGAAACTTTCCCTTTGGGCAGCATCCCGTAACAGCATAGTGAAGGATTTTGTTGTTAAACCTACCTCTAAAGCACTGGATGCTGGACTAGGACCACCACTGCTCTGATCCACTATGACAATTCCTATCATGCCTATGAAATAAGTGAGACCATGCACACCTGTGGATAAGAAGGTGCCACTTTTACAGTTTTAAGAAAAGGCTTAAACTCTTTAGACCCTTCAGAGAAGTGCTGGCACAGAATTCAACTGAGCATGAGACAGCAGAGACAAAGAACATTCTCCCCTTAACTCTCAAGTCTTTAGCTGAGGGACGTTCAGTTGTTTAAACCACTATCTGTTCAAGTGCACCCAATTTTACAACTATGAAGAATGTCTTCTGGGATTTTTGAGTGTATCTGAATCAGCTGTGTTTGGGTTTCAAAAAAAGATCATATCTCACAGGAGAACTCTGAACAGCGTGAAAGCTTCAAAGTAGTATTTGTCAAGAGACTTGACAAGCTGCCAGTATCTTTTTAAAAAGGGAACTGCTTTATATGGGGTACTGTGACTCGACTAAGTGGCACTGTTTTCCAAGCACTAGATGGCTATAACTGTTATAGGGTAAGATTAGATAATTGCCAATACTCAGATTTGGGTGACTAAAAAAAGTAAAATGTCCGAATGAAATGTTTTGTCTGGAAACTGATATTAAAGCCTCTCTCTCAACTACATGTGCATCAAGTGTGATATAATGTACCAGTTCTGCCAACGTGACAATAAAAAGGGAAAGAGGCATCCGATGTTAACTCAGCACATTAATCAGAGAGCTTTTTATGTACTAAAGACTTCCTACATCTGGAATTTTAATTTCCACTCAAACTGCACTTCTCTCATTGCAGATCAGTACTACAACGTGAATGTGGCCAGCAGAATAGCAAGATCAGTTACCTCTCAGACTGGGCAGACAGTATCCAAGGACTGGTATAAGTGTCCTAAAGATGATTTGTAAGACAGGATTTTAAAGAAAGAAGCCATTTTACTTTGAGTTTGTCTAATTTTATTAATAAAGACATTGAAATGTGCGCACATCAATCTACGTACAAAATGCTGCTTTTAGCGCTGCAATCATTACACTTAAGCAACAGTAGCCAATCTGACAGTCTGTATACACAGCTTCAATTACTTTACAGAACTTTTAACTAATATTGCCTCTGTTTAGGCCTCCTCTGCCTCCCATTGCATGAGTTACACCTGTAGGGAAAGAGAAGAGTATTAATGCTAGTACTTTTCCCCACTCCAATAATCAAACATTGTCAGTTGGCTACTTTGTTTGGTGATGAGATGAGTGTGCAGTGGAAAATTCTGTTAGCAATCTCTCTCTCTCTCTCTCTGTGTGATGGCCTAGCACAAGGAGGTACTACTGTGGACTTTCATTCCAGGGGCCAGAAGAGTCACAATCACAGCATGCTGAATTACGGGTCGAGTGGGTTACCCTCCTTTTTCAACAGCCAGCCTTTTGGTTAATGTGTGACAATAGATGGGATTGTAATGGAAATTCCTTCTAGTTCTGTAAGTGCATTTTTTTATGGTTAGATCCACAGCATCTGAATGTTAACAGATATATCTGCACTAGCACAAGTATATGCAGAATATTTAATATTTATGTTGATGAATACATTTAATCTGGGTAGGGTTTTTTTTTAATGTGGGGGTTGTTATAGTTAAAAATCATTAGTAGCAATCAAAGTAAAATCTGGAGAATACTAACATAATAAGCTTCTGTAATTTCAATCATTTAATTTTCTTTAAAAAGTAGCATAATGATTCCAGACATCATCTCACGAAAATCTTAAATTTGAAATAGGAAAATTGTGTTGGGAGTAATCTTAAAGATCAGAATTGTATCATATCAAGCTTATGTCCTAGCGATAAATCGCCAAAAAAAAGTAATTTTAAAATCAACTGCAATTTATATGCCTTCTAAAATCAGAGCCAGGAGCTACAGAAGGAGGAAGTTTTCTGTAGTCTTTTTGCCTGTCAGCCAAATGAATGCTTTGGATAATATATATTGAAAGCTCTGTGGGGCAGGGACCCTGCATTATTCAATGTCTACTTGTATACTTCTGGTGGCATGATAGATATCCAGTTTCAAAAGGGTTAAGAAAATTAAGAGGTCATTTGAAAGAGTACAGACATAGTCACAATAATTATAACACTGACAGCCACTTACCCCTTTGTCTGTTAAACTGACGACCACGGACACCAGTTCTTAATGTTGGTGGCTGAAGTCTGACACGCCGGAAAGGCTTTGGCTGATTACTGCTTGTGTCTGTAGAGAAGGAAGAGTTTCAGAAAGAATATATAAGATTGTTACTGCAGTAAAATTTGTAACTGTTAGTGAGTCCATCGCTTAATTAACATACAGCTGTACTTGTCTTTCATATTTTAAAAACTTGAGGGTGCAACATATTTCATTAGCATCTTCTCAAATAATAATAAAGCCTCAGATTGAACAAGTATGTTTGTTTTCCTTTGATTTTTTTTTTTTTTTTACTCACTAGCTGGATTAAATTCCTTGCAGCTAAGACCAAATGCATCTAATTACAATCTTGCCCTTTTACTTTTGCATTGCTTACATCACATCCCTTTAAAAAATTCCACCGGGACTAAATTTTGAATCCCATACTCACAAGAGTAGTCCCACTGAAGTACATAATCACAACTCCAGGAAGGGATTCCCAATCTGACCCTAAAATTTTCTTTTGAAGTGAGTATCCTTCAAGGTATTTTAAAAAGTTCTATCTCCAATAGTTACTGATGACAAAAATATGGTCCAGATACTCACAGTCTGTTGCCCTCACCAAATGGAAAAGGAAATTAAATAGATGAAAAAATGTCAAACTCTCCAAAGATTCTCATGTCCATTTTATTTCAAAATGGAGTGACAGACTAATGGTTGGTAGACCAATGGATTAACAAAAGAACAAAGCTTTGCATCTGTGAATACTCATATGCCCATCATGTTACTTGTAATTTTTCACTTAGTAAAGGGATATTTTAACACACTGGCTCCCAACCTTTCCAGACTACTGTACGTCTTTTAGGAGTCTGATTTGTCGTGCATACCCTCAAGTTTCACCTCACTTAACTACTTGCTTACAAAATCAGAAAAACATGAGAAAGTGAGGAATTTTTTAGTAATAGTGACACTTTTTTATTTTTACCATATAATTATAAAATAAATTAATTGGAATATATTGTACTTACATTTCAGTATATAGCAGAGGTGAAAGTAAGCCGGTGCGCCGTACCAGGGCGGCCCGGCTTCCCCAGGTGGCAATTTAAAGGGCCTGGGGCAACAGCTGGAGCCCCAGGCCCTTTAAATTGCCACCAGAGCCCTGCTGCCGGAGCTCTGGAGTAGCGGCGGGGCTCTGGGGGTTATTTAAATGGCCAGGGCTCCCGCTGCCTCTACTGCCCTGTCGCTACCCCAGGGCTCTGGGGGATATTTAAAGGGCTGAGGCGGTAGAAGCAGGGGAGTCCTGGGCCCTTTAAATAGCAGCGGCAGCCGGGGGCTCCGGCAGCGGTTTAAAGGGCCCGGGGCGGTAGCGACGGCCAAGCCCTGGGCCCTTTAAACTGCTGCCGAAGCCCCTGGCTGCCGCTACTACCCCGGCGGGGGAGGGCATTTACTGGTACAGGGTGGGCCAGGGCTGGCTCTGACCCACCCCATCCCTGCCCCTTCCGCCCGAGGCCCCGCCCCTTCCGGGGGCCAGAGCCGGCCCCAACCCAGCCCCGTACCGTTAAGTCCCTATTTTTACTTTCACCCCGGTGTATAGTATACAGAAGAGTATAAACTAGTCATTGTATGAAATTTTAGTTTGTACTGACTTCACTGGCTAGTGCTTTTTATGTAGCCTGTTGTAAAATTAGGCAAATATCTAGATGAGTTGACGTACCCACTGGAAGACCTCTGCGTACTCCCAGAGGTATGAGTATCCTTGTTGAGAACCACTGTTCTGGCAAACCTGTGATTATTTATAAGCAACCCAGATGTCTTAGAGGTTTATCCATGTTATCAACTGACACAAAACAAAAATCAATACAAGTTTAAGCACTTACGTTGGAAGAAGTTCCAGATTCAGGATATATGCCACTCATCTGCCTACAAATTGCCACCCTATCTTACACAATGCTGCCATAATGATTAGAATTCACTCATAATTCAACCTGTCAACACACTGGGTGAGAAGGGTAAGAAAGTTGAGTGTATTCTTAATGATGGCCACACCACTAACCTAAGTTTTCTTTTGACCCATTACAGAGACAACAATAAGTATAAATAAAGTTATGCTTCAGAAGGGACATTAAATGTTCAAAATAGTTGGTCTTAGTTTGGTCTCCACTGCCAACAATGTGTACTGCACTGGGGAAAGGCTTGCGGTACAAGCATCCTACAAAAGAGTATGAAGCAATCTGTATTAGGAAGGGAGCCAATACCTGCTGATGAGCTGGAAGGAGGATCCTGACTGGTGGAAGGGAGGTCTGACTCATCAGATGCTTGAACAGATTCTTCTTCTTGCTGGCTATCAATTTCTAGACCAGCTTCTGATGTAATTCTGGAACATAAAAATTCAGGTGTCGAACAATGGTGATAAAACTCAAGAAAAATCAATAATCCCCTGAGAGCACAGATAATTTTGTAATTTAACAGGAAATTGATTTTTGTTTTACCATGGGTATTTTCATACACACACTTCACTTTTTTTCTACCTTGTTACCAGAAATTAGAGATATTAGTATTTTAAAAATAAAGGCAGACAAATCCTCTTTGGCACTCATCTACCCATCCACTGCACACCACCAGGGTGACTGCCTGATCAGAAAAATGAGGAAGAAAAAAATGAAGTTTATTTGGGTGCACTTGAGTAAAACCATGTGGCATGGAAGAATTTATACACCAATCTGCTCCCCATATTACAGAGGTCAGTGGGTAAGGGGGAAGTAAATATTTAATTTAAATGGAACCCATTAAGACTATGCAGTATGATCCAGTATATGAAATGTAAAGGCTGGGAAAAAGAGATGGCTCCTAGGGTTTTGCCCAAAATGTCCTTTTCAATGCAATACCTAAAAGGCTTGGATTAATGATTTTTCAAAAAGCCAGTGCCAAGACAGTGAAAGACAATAACAAAGCTATCTTAAAGAGCACTCTACAGAGTCCAATGGAAGGACAATTAGATCAGTTGATTACATGGAAGTCTGAGGGCAGAATTAACAAAATAAAAATAAAATCATTTTAAACAATCTATGGGGCTGCTTGGTTGTATTTTCTCCACTTAACTCCCCATTTGTGCTGTTTTATTTCCCCTGCCTGGGTGCAGGACTTTACATTTGTTAATATCAAATTCTACCCTCTGCCAAAAGCCCCACAGCTCTCCAGGTCACTCTTAGTTTGGTTTTGTCCCGTATGTGTCTACTTCTGGTGGTGTTCCAAATTTTGCTCACAATTGAACTTCAAACAACACACACAAAAGAAAAAAGCATTTAGCAGCTGAGCAGAGAGATGCTTTAAAAAAAAAAAAAAATTAGACAGGCTTCTGGAAAGCCTGACAGTCCCAGATGGGGCTCCAACTATCACTGCATAAAGCCTGACGGATACTTCACTACTGTTATAGTAACAGATCCACAAGTTAGTTGAAGTACTCAGCAGACCAGTTTTGAGAGCCATTGCATCAATCCATTTATCAAGGAAATGCATGCCCAACTCACTCATGATCTGGGTGTCCAGAAAGGGTTTATATTCTTTTAAAAGATTTACATTTTGTTTCTGTTATTTCTGCAAAGTAGTAAATTAAGTTGTTCGGAAAAAAGGAAATCTAACACTGATCTGTGACCATTTTGAGATGTCTAGAAATTCTAGATCCCACTACCAGCGCCAGAGGTTGAATAAGCCTCTGATTCAGAGTTTAATTCATGTTTTCCACTGCAAGCGGATTAGCTTGTGAACATCTT